GTGGGGTTCTGTCATAATATACAAATTGTTAACCTACATTCAAACCCTCAATGCTCCCCCAAACAGTGCAATTTCTCATAAAACTGTATTTTTTATGCCAAGACTATCACACACACCTCTATACTATACAATATACACATACCACATGTCCACTTCAACATAAACTTGTACAGTACAGGGATAAGTCCATCATACATTTGACTATACAATTGCATATAATTGTAAACACTAAACACCTAAAAATAATGACCATTTTGAAAGACACAACGACAAGAAGGAGCACTCATATCAATGACATTTGTTGCCACATTTTTAGTACTAGTGTGCAGTACTCGCTCGGTACAATACTTACTCATTTATATACTCTCCATTATCAGCAACTAACTGCAATGCACGGTAGAGTTCAATTGTTTGAGGTGTTCTCATAATTGATGGGAAACCAGGTATCTGTGGAGTCATTTTCAAGGAACTGGCGCTGATACCAGTACTTGTAGCATCCAAGGAGTCGGGAGTCATTGGAAGTACTCGAGCTGCATTTGCAGGACCTGCAAGCAATAGAAGAATGAAATAAACTAAAGTGAAGAATAAAAACAAAGTAAGTATAATGTTCACCACTCGAGGGTGATATAACAATCAGATAGTAGAGTAATCCAAAAATTGAGAACAAATGCAAGTACTGGTAGTTTGGGCTATAATCAATTTAATGCTTTTAATCTAATCCATGAATTACTACACAAATCAACTGTTATCTTGATAAGTGAAGCAATGTACAGTGGTTAATGAATGCCATCTGTGAATTATCAAAGTTACATTGGCGTCTCCTTTTTTATTATCTAGCAGCTTGTATTATTAACAACCTCTGATCCCCTCACTTAGCTTGCATTAACAGCTTTCTTAGAGGCCTGGCTGACTCTATCGTACTGAAAGCCGACTACCTATCACTGTTTACTATAAGCTATAACACAAAGACATGAAATCAATATAATTAAATTTCAGTTATTGTTAATAGGCACACATGGTTTGTGATATAACAAATTATATTGACAGGCAATGATAACCAAGTTTGGCTACTTACTGTATTAGACTTAATTGTTAGCAGTGTTTGAATTTATGCTACTTTCACTGACAGCTAAATGTACTAAACTAAAACACAATATTCAAATTTAATAAAACACATTGTTACCTTCACTGAACAGTGAAAATCTTAATTCATGTACAACATGAAATCTGCTATAATTAAAGCCTGAGAATATTTCTCCTTGTACAGAATTCTAGTAGTTTTGTGGCAGGTGCTTGAATTTTGGAATTCAAAGAGCACCAATTTCAAGACCCAAATTTCTAAAAACGTCTTAAGACTGATCAAAATTGTGTAGAACTTATTGAAGGGCATCAACGCATGTGCGGGACATCATGCAAATTGTATCACAAATTTAAAGCCCAGTTATTGTAGTCCTGGTAGTTGGATTTCTTTAAATATGATTTAGGGTAACTATTTAACCTGCACTTCAAGATGATACATTTAGGTTTATTGGGATATTTGAGTGACATAATAGATTGACATGAAAATGTCATAGTAACGCAGGTATTATATATTGTATTATTAACATTTAATGCCGTCAAACAATGAAAACTATTTCTTAAGATGCAATTTATTATAAATGTTCAAATATGATTTGAATTTCAGTGCATCCTGAGGGATGATTTTAATTGCACATTTCATTTACGAGGATCTGGCATACTTCCTAATTACTACAGACTACCATAGAAATGCAAAACAAAAGAAAAAAAACTTCAAATATTTTGCATAATTGGTGCATATTTGTAACCTTTAATATTTACTGTAAAACAAAATTTAATGTGCTATAAGTATATGGCACAGATGTTGTAAGGTATAATAAATGTCATTGGGAATTACTGTGTTTCTGTTATCACAAGGTAAATATCAATATATTTTATGAACCAAAGTTTATTTATTAGATTGTTTCCTTTAAGGGACGACGTCAAAAGATCAATGTCGGATAAAAAACTTATTTCCTTTAGTTTGGGGGGGGGGGTTGACCTCAAAAAGTTTCCATCCTACAAAAATGATTTCATTTTTTAATGAAGTCAAAAAATCTTAAGTATTTGTAGTTCATTTTTTTTTATTCTATCCAATCATGGACAGAAAATCCAACACATCCAAGACGAGAAAATGGTTTGGTCCAAGTGTAAATATGTGCGTCAAATGCATTTGTAAAAAGTTTTTACACCCACCCGACAACCAACTGCTATGCAATACTACTGTCTGATTATCAATTTGTATTTAATGGTAAATGTAGTCTGACGCCATGACCAATATTTATCAATTAAGTTTCAGTGGGGGGTAGGGGGGTTTGGAATAAAACTAAAGGAATTAAGTTTTTTATCCGTCATCGATCTTTTGACGTCGTCCCTAACATGGTGGGTTTGAAGTAGATACACAAGGGTTTTCTCGTACATGTAAGAGAACATGTTCTATCGCCCATACGTTAGCATAGGACAAATTATATGAACTGTTGTATCTTTACAAATAGGTCCGTACCCCCTTTTTTCTTCTTCAAAATGTAGTTCCAGGCATTGTTTCATTACCTTGAATTTGAAAAAAAGACTTTTTCTAATTGAATGGATCGTATTTTACTTTTACTCCCATAGAGTCTCGTATATTATCACATACAGAAATACCATGTTTATCAAAAAAAGATGTTTTTTTCACATACACCCTATTATAGCAATAAGCAATCCATTACTAAAATATAAAAAAATTCCAAAAGCTTTCGAAAGACTGCATTGAGCCATCTTAAGATGCTTCTACATAAAACAAAAAACAGTAAGTCTGTCATGGGTCAATTGATTACTACAGTATATATGATCCAACCACTGAGATTAAAGGTATTGATAATAAATTAAATGCATACTTGGTGACAGATGGTAAAACACAACTGGGTTATTACTTCTATTACTGGCAAGGTGAAGCTGACACATGTCAAGTGTTGTGGTGCAAATATAGTAATCATAATGTAAATGAAAAGACTGTATTGTACAGACAAGTTGAGCACAGCATTAAACTGGGAGATTACTGTACCCTAGTCCACATGTCAATTACCTCAACATGGATTATTAAAGTTAACAAAAGAAAACATCAATGTACAATGACAATGGTTCAGGAGTTTATTAAATCCGAGTGTGTTTGGTTTGAATCTTGTGGGGTTCATGTTTTTTTACGCAAGGCACTCCACTTCTGCGTTAACACATTCCACCAAAGAGTAAATAGGTACTTAAAGGGAACCTCAATCCAAACAACATAATGAACTCCCAAGAAAAAGCTCCATAAATGTAGGAGAATGCAATTTACAGTTTTGTTGTATCACTTTTCATTCTCTAGATATTCCACTTTTCATCAGTATTACGTAGTCAGCCATCTTGATTTTCAAGCAAAGGATTATGGGTAAAGTATGACATAGAATCTGTTGTCAGAAATTGAGAAAATGATTTCATCTATAACTTCAAAAGTTGAACTTTAAATTGGCTGAAAGTTTAGAAATTGGTAGCATACATGTACTGGTACCATCCATGCTTATAAAATAGTTGTAATGGAAACAGAACTGACAATATTTAT